TATTCGGATGAAAATAAATTCAAATCGAAGGAAACCGGATTTAAAATCGAAGGTTAAATATCGGTTCCAACCTCTAAAACCTACCTTTTAACGCCAATTAAAAATTATTGTGACACTCAACTGCTTTAATTAACAAAAAAATGTAAAGTTGAAAAATAGGGTAAGCCAAAAAGAATATATTCCAAAAGTCCTTGATTACAGCCCCATAAATAATTATTTAGCTAAAATCCAACATCAAAATTGAAATTGATAACAATAATGTCATTGCGGTTTGGGCACGCACTTAAAAATAGTTGGATTTGACATATTTATGCATTCCTAAACAAATTTAAAAAATAATTTGGTAAAATAACACAGAATCATCGTATTTTTCCATTAATCCACAATATAAATATTTATATTGTATGATTGTTTTAAGCTAATGTTTAAGCCAATATTGATATTGAATGATGAGAACTGTATTAAACGAACAAATACTATTCCATGTAATATAAAATTCTGTTGAATCTATTATTAAAAAAAGCGCCAACTTTAATAATGTTCCTTTTTAATGATCATACAGCGTAAATGATCGTAATTTTACGATCAGTGTAGTCTATACCTTCTTAACTTTAATGAATATCCTTTAAATAAAAGTATTTCAGATAATAAAAAGGTAAAATTTGAATGTCGTGCATTAATGGCGGGTTAAATTAAATTTATGATTTCTGAATCCTATGCATTAGTAGTTTAAAATATTGTTTATTCAATGTTGCCTTCAAAAGTATATAAAATTAATTAGGCAAATTTTTTTGAAATAAATCCGATAAGCAAAAATGTGATTCGAATTACAGCTCTTTTCTTAAATACAAGACGTTATCGGGTTAATAAACAACGTGACAATTTATGTTCAAGTCGAAGGCCAATCCATAACGGCTGTCATTTTCTTGTAAGTCACACGGCTTGAATACTTAGGATTATTATCATGCTGGAGGTCAAGTTATAAGTATTTCAGAAGATCTATAAATTCCAGTATCTCCATTTGAATGGATTAAGCTTGTGCAGTTTAATTTTTTTCTAATTTTTTTGTTATATTAAATAATTAAAAATTATTTTTTTTAAAGTAAATAAAAAATGCGCAAAAAAATATATAATTCAAATGTATATAATTGCAAAATATGATTTGTAAATTTGTAATTTAGTTAAGCACAACCTGACAATTTGAAAATTATTTCAATCAAGGTATTATGTTTAAAAAAAAATTTTTTTAATCGTTAACTCTCATCGGAGTCGCGACGACCGATTTAACAAAGTTATACCATTGGAATTCCCTCATCGATAACTCAAGAGCGAATCTCCATAATAACTTAGTAAAGTAGCAGATACTGCAAAGAAATTATCATTTATATCGCCATAACCGTCCGGTACATTCGTTTCACGTCATAGATACAAATTCATGAAAATTACAACATTAAAAACTTATTCATGAGAAAATGATTTGTGTTTCAAGTAAAAAAAGATCGAACATTTTCATTTATTATGTCAAAATTGTACTGCACATACTTCTCTTCATATACCAAGAACAAATGACTTTAAAAATAAATAAACCAAAAATTATTTATACATTGTCTACCTAAAACAAATATAAGTAACTAAAATTTTTAAGATAAAAGTTAAAGAATAAAAAAAGTAAGTTAAAGAATAAGGAGAAAATAAAAAAAAAAAAACAAAAAAAAGAAGAAATCTTTGATTTATAATACAATAAAGTTTTGAAAAATACAGGACATTTTTATATATATACACACCGTCCCGAACAAATATTTCCGCTCCTTCGGAATTTATTATGAAAAAGCAGGAATATTTGTATAATTAATATTAAGACTTTACTATTTATAAAGATAATAGCTGAATTTCTGGAAAAGCACCCAAAATTTTTAAGTTTCATTGCTTTAGAAAGGACATACGGATTTATGTGGTTTTAGAGTTGTTCTAAAAGAAACTGTGTTTTTTAACATTATTTATTATGATATCACTTAACATTAATTTTTATAAATCTCACGTGATATTTATCGATACTAAATAAAAAGCATTTTTTAATATTTTTACTAGGATATTTGTATATATATATTTATTTATGAAACGGGGCAACAAACATGAGAGGTCATCGATTGGTTATTTTCAAATGAGAAAAATGAAAGTCACGAGTCAATCAGCGGAGTCGGCTGAATTTTTTGGAATTAGCTTATTAAACTGATTTACCTTACCATGAACTTTAAAAAGGTAAAATGACGTAGGTATATATATTTAATCTTTTTTGTATTTACCTTACCAAAAACAGTAAAAGTGTCCTTATCTGGTAAATGTTAATGATGCATAAAAAAAAAAAATCCTAAATATAACAAATAAGCCATATTACCTAAAATGATCTAAAAGATAAATAGAAGTTTCCCATGACAAAAAAAAAAAAGAAAAAAAAAGAATCTCTATCAAACATGACAGAAAGTGGAGCTGATATTATTACAATATTATCTCAAAATTATCGAGAATGTTACGACATTATCATTGATTCTATAAAGAATGATTTACCCACTTTATATTCATGTATTCACGTAAATCGGTCATTTTGTCGAATTTTTATACCGATCCTTTGGAGAAATCCTTTCAGATTTATCAAAACAGACCAAAAATTAATACAAATATTTAACACACTCATATATTGCCTTGACCCGTCTATTAAAATAAAAGAAATTCCTACATCAAAGTCGTATTTTGATTATCATACCTTGATTAAAGAGTTTGAATTAAATCCCTTACAAAGAGGATTGAGACTTTGGAATTTAAAATATTTATCAAAGCATAACGAAAAAGCATTTCAAATATCATGTGATAAAAAATTACGTAAAAAAGTGGTCAAACTTAACAAATATATTGGGGAATTATTTTTCAGTAAAAGGAATCAATTTGAATTTATCAATATTTTTTATAATGATTTATTATTTGCACCGAAATCTTTATTGGACGTTTGCGAATTTAAGAATCATGAAGAGAGTTTGATCAAGGTTAATAAATTGTCAATAGGATTCTTTCATAAGTCCAATGCGAATTTAATTCCGGTCATTACCGAATATTTTGCAAAACTTCAAAAAGTTCTATCGCCGAATATACAACATTTACAAATTTCTATTGATACGACTAGACAACACAAAACGTTATCCAATAACTTGATAAATCTCATTAAATCTCAACAATGTTTAAAATCTTTAATGATAGGCCTCTTCTGGAGTAATTTACAAAACAAACCTTTACTTTTTGCTTTACAAAAACAATCAAAATCTTTGACCTTTTTAAGGGTGGGATGCGGAAATTTTCAGATACCCACCTCCACTTTATTATCCATATTAAGGCAATTGCCGAATTTAATCACTCTCGAATTTCGTCTCATTACTATGCATTCTGATAAAGATGTTTCGAGTGAAATTTTCGACCTTCAAACCCCTCTTTTTAAAAATTTAAAACACCTTTATTATGATTATTATCTCTATTATTATGTGTCAAAGAATCCGAGTGAACTTTTAAAAAAAATCCTTTTGTCAACAAACAAAAATTTGAATTCTTTTATAGTTGATATCTCTTATTGTTCTTTTATTAAAGAAGTTCAACAACAATGTCATTTGAATATAACTCACTTCCATTTGATTATTAGTCGAAATTACTCATTCGCTGATTTAATTATTATATTGAAAAATTTACGATTAATTCATTTGAAAATTAATCAAACTTCTTCCAATCGAAATTATTTATTGGGTTGTGTTCATTTATATAAGGAATTCTCTCAAGCAATCCCCCCTTCTTTAGAGATACTTGAGGTGGACTTTGTTGTTTCGGATGCGTTTTTGGAAACTTTACTTAATGAGACAAAAATTAATCTTCAATGCATTAGGTTGTACCGTTTTGAGTATTGGGATACTTCCTTAAGAATTTTTTCCAATTACGCAAAAAGAAAAAAGTGTTTTAGAGAACTGGGATTTTCTCATATTTTACACTTTTCTAAAAAACTTTTAATGGAAGCGCGAAAACTATTTAGGATAATAAAATATTCGAACGATGAAATTTTGAGTCCATTTTACGACGTACCAATCTCAAATTCTTACTGGAGCAACAGAGTTACAGAATAGTTTTTTTTAGTTTCGTTTCGTTTTTTGATATATAACTCTTTTCGATATTTTGTTATTTCCATAATAAAGGATAAAATTCACGATAATTGAGCTTTTCCGAATGTAATCTTTCATTTTTTTTTTAATTTTCCTTTTTTAATGAAATAAAGTAAAAATAGTTTGAGACAATTTTTGATTTATTTAACATATTTTATTTAATGAATGAAGCCTAGATTACAGAAATCTGAAGACATTCTTTGAGAAAATTCATGGCATTGTCCTTTCCGTTCCTGAAGAATTTAAAATCCCGAAATTTGCAGCGACCTCGATGCTGCTGCCTTAATTTTCCGAATGAAGGGATTCTAACCTATTTAATTAATAACTTGTAGAATTGAAGTATTTTTTTTTTTTTTTTTTTTTTGGAATATTAGAGTCGTCCTATGAAATTAGCATTGCTTTGGATGGATGGGCGAGTTTGGTCCTTTAGAATTAATTTGCCTTCTTCAAAATGGGTGGTTACTATGGGTACTTTGGAAACATTTATTTACAAACAAGGTTGAGTGAGGAATTGTATATATTTATACAAATGAGCACTAATTTATAATTCATCTTTATATTAACAAGTGTATACTTGCGCGTGATTGATGGTTTAACATCATTTTTTTTTTTGTATACCGTATATATATTCCTTTCCATTATTTGATACCAAGTGAGATAAGTTAACAGAATAAGGATCTTTTTAATTCTCGTTTGTATGTTATACATGAAATCTTTTGATACACATCAAAATAAATATTAGCTATTCTATGATGAAACTTTTTTTAAAAAAAAGGTGAATTAAATAAATACATAAATAATACATTATTAAAAGAAATACTATTCTATATATGCTATGATTCTCGTTTATTTTCAATCTTTTCTAATTTTTCCATAATTTCTATAAACATTTCCTGCATGTTCTTTTGTAATTCAACTATTTTGGTATCGATCTTTTGATCCGTGTCAGCCAATCTATTATTTATACTCTGTTGAAATTCTTTAAAACTTTCATCCAAAGGTAAAGGAGTACCTAACTCATTCGAAAGAACAGAAGTTATTGATGAAGAATTACACTTTTTATCCATTTCATATTTCAATAAGGAAAATTTGTCACCCGGATCCTCCTGAAACTTATACTTTTTATATGATGCCCGATTCTCATATCTTTGATACATGCACCCTCTAAAATCCTTCCTTCCCTCTGACCAATCCTCAAAACTTTTCGAATGCCCTACATAAAATATGTATTCTGGATCTGGTTCCGGTGCCCAAAATCTTATATCCTCTAACGCCTCATAATCTGATATGAGCGTTGCTCTGTATCTTAACAATGCATCTTTTCCTTTCTTTGCCGCTTCTTCATATACACCGCTAAATATGTTATATTTATTAAAGAAAGATTTTTCTTGATTAATAATTTGAAATTCATTGATTTAAACAAATAAATAATAAAAAATGTTGCGAATATTGGCGAGATGTCATTAAAATCATTGCATTAGGTTACATTTTTTTTTTACCTCTTCATTTAAAAATAAGGCAAATAAGAAATTCAAATTACCTACGGCGTTCGCATTTTTATAATCGGACATAATTACTATTTCAAGGAGGTACATCAATCATGTTTAAATTAAAGAAAACTTACCCCATAAAAGCAACCAACATGTTCTGCAATACGGTAACTAATAAAAGACTTGCAAATAATGACAATATTTCAATGGCCCAATAATCGAAATCATCCTTCTGACTCCAATAACCATTAATCCAAAAATAAGCTGCCTGAACTGATGTTAAAAAACTTGAGAAGGGATTATCATCACTTGACGTTGGGTCAAATATTGTTTCCATTTTATAACCAGTCGCCGTATCGTTTTCATCTAATAATCTATAATCTTCAAGTTTTGGTTTTATTACACTAATATCTGGATTTGATAATAATAAAAAAACTAAAATATAACAAAATTGGTGTTAATTTTATATAAATATATTTAAATGATTAGAGCATAACCCCCGAACTTACAGGCATGGGCAAAGGCTAATATTACAAAAAACATGAACAAAAGGAAGGGATATCTATAATGGAGAAAATGTATATTAGTATTAAAGACTTTAACCTAACTTTACCAATTAAAAAGTTCAACTCACACTGTAGAGAATATTATGATGACAAAATAAATATATTTAGCCATTTCTAAAAAGGGGGAGAAAAAAGAAAAAAGAAAAAAGGAAAAAGAAAATTTTTTAAAAAAGAATGATAATGATAACATAAACAAAAAAATTTTCTTTTATCAATGAAATTACATACCTGACAACAATCTTAAATATAAAAGCTGCAGCAAATGGAAAAAAAAAAGTTAATGAACAAATATATTATCCTAACAACAATAATTTTTATATTGATCTTTTTTTTTCTACTCACCAATTCACACCAAAGTAATAACATTGTAAATGAAATTCCAGTGACAATCCCAGTGCTGGTTTCAACTTCTACAAACCCATTCGGCTTTAAAGAACTTGCAACGAAGATTGACATAACTATGCAAGGAGCAATAATTGAAATTATATCAAACATATTACTAACACTTAAAGATTCTCTGAAACCATGATGCAATGCCTGAAAAACTTCGACGGCTATTAAATAATAAGCCAAATAATAAAAACACGCTATTACAGCAATTAGAAACCCTTTAGAATATCCAGTAGTTTCAAGTTTTGACATATAAGCCCAACTTATTATACCAAAACAAACTGCATATGCTATGAATGCAAGAAATATTTGTAAAAAGTAATTTCTTGCAGGCCGCCATCTAAAATCTATAATTGCTTCCATTGCAGGATTATCAAAAATATCATTGTCTTTTTCATACCTAACAACCTGTACAAATGGACTTAATAATCTTTTATCCTCTCTGCCTATTACATAACCTCTAGGAATAATTAATATTTTAAAAAGTCTTAATATATTTGATTTCCAATCATATCTGATGCGAGTTTTTGGAACATTATGAACCGTAAAATTCGGTAACCTAAAATTATTCCAATGGATATTAATTTTTAAAAATATTAAAATATAAAGAGAACTTTTAATATTAAGCAAGATCACTCACGGAACGACCCTTAATGCTATAGGAGGAGGCGCAAGATCATTATCGAAGTTATCAACAAAGTCTGTGTAATATCTTGGCAACTTAATAGTAATAAATTCGAATATAACCTGAAGCGTTGGCTTATGATTTTTATCTGAAGCTAGTCTAGTATTCGGTTTAAAAGCCTTAAAATCTTGTGTTCTATTTCTTCTTGGTTTACTATGTTCAGGAATGATTTCTGATGCGTCATACTCTATTCCAAGCTCTTTGTCAGCAAAACATTCTTTATAAAATAACGCTTTTACATAATAATCTAAAATTTTGCATATATATAATTAATTATAAATTTACAACCAAATCATTTAATTATAGATAAGAATCACAAACCTAAATTATATCTATACAGTAACGGTAATGCTTTCGAAATCGTTATCATCCAGCCAATGTGATGTAATGCGTTCTCAGAATAATATTCTAGCAAATAACCGACCATTATTGCATCTTTTCTTTCTCTGCCTAACATCAAATATAAGTTTGAATAGAAATGATACACATCATCATAAAACATAAATGAAATCGTTCCTTTTTAATTACCTTTACTGTATTCGATTGCCCATTCTAAATCAGTGGTCGGCATAATTATATTCTTCTTTGATTTCTTTACGTTTTTATTATCTTTCTTCTTCTTTTTACGTTTTATAAACATATATAACCAAACAATTATTTCAAATATAAATGAAAAAAACCGATGATATAAACCAATAGGTATGGGTTTATTACATTGGGGTGGCAAAATATCGCTAATCCATTCCCTGGATTTTGGAATATGTAATATTTGCTTATATTTATGAGTACGATTTTTTGAATCATCATCTTTCTTCGATTTCTTTGAATTCTTCTTTTTGTCGGCTTTAAGCTCTTCTAACGACATTTCGCCAAAAAGAGCAACCTTGACTAAATAATAACAACCTCCTCGAATTAAACTGGAAAATACATTATATCGAACATCCATCATCTTAAAGACCATTGGCTTTTTCTTTATGAATCTCCATACAATTCTACTTGTACTTTCGACCAACTGTTCAAATTCTACCATTTTTTTGTAATCTATTATTTTGTTATTTCGTTTATTTAAGTGTTCAAGAGTTTCGCAAGCATGTAAAACAGGAGTTACGTGACCGTCCTTGCAAGGAAACGAAAGTCTCTTAAAATAGCTCAACACTACACCCCCTTCCCAATATTGCCAAACAACCGTAAGAGAAAATGCATGGTCGCCAACCCATAATTCTTGTAATTGTAGCCTTGAATCTTCGGTATTATGTTCTACTGGAATGTTATTTGCCCAAATATATTCAAGAACAGGTTCTTTCTTTTGTAAATTGGCCCCCCCTTTCTTATCTTTTTTCTGTTTTGGTAACTTTCGCCAAACTTGCACTGTGCTATGTCCAATTATAAGCTGTATTGTTTCATCCTCGTCAAGATATGCTGAAATGCGATGATAATTATTTATATCAACCCATGGTTCTTTATTGTCAATTATAGCTTTATGAACTCCACTTGGCATTTTACGATGAAATACCCTGTGTAACTTTGTATCTTCCTCACGCTTAGAATATAGATCTGGCATATTTTCTTCCTGATCTGGCGTGGTTTCGAATGCTTGAAATATAGTACAGCCAAACGAAATTGTTGCATCTATTTCTTCTCCATGTACAAGATTTATAAATCTATCATGTTCAATGATCGAAAACAAACTACCATCATCATTCATACAATAAAGTTTACTAGGGATTCGTGCCATATGAGAATGGTAATTATCTTTTGATGGAAATAAACCTTCCAACATTCCGGTACGAACAGCATTTTCAGACGAACTAAACAAATCCCATATTTGTACTTTTGTAACCCTATTAGGCTCAACATCCTTAAAATATGAACTTTTTTTCCTAGTTATCTTTGGTCTTTCATTATTAATGTCATTTTCTATTTTTTCTTTCTCATTTATCTTCTTCACTTTTTTTTCCTCGGGAAATAACTTTTCATTTTCAATCGGGATTTGTTTTTTAATATCTAAATCATTAGAATCCTCTTCTAGAATTATAGTTAACGTGTTGGGATACTCACCATTCGTGGCTTTGGATTCTTCTTTGACATCCGAACATATTTCTTCTTCGGTAATGATAAGTAATCTTTCATCTTTATCGATAAACTCCAAAAAAAGAATTCGCGTCTCTATCCCAAATTCCATTGTACTTATATCAAGGCCATTTTCTATCCAAAACAATGTAACAGATTTTTCACCGTTACTACAAGCGACCAATTGATTATTACGCGACACCGCGAAAACGGATGATATATGACTTGCGGTATGTTGTTTACTCTCTTCATGTCGATTTATAAAAATTTGCATTTGTTCCATCGTTGAAAGATTGTACATTTCTATCGTATGAATTCCATCTTTATATTGGTCCACAAAGAAATAATGATGATAAATGCATGACAGCAGACGATCCAAACAATGTTTTGATTTATACCAAGCTTTTAATTCTTTTTCCAATCTTTTAGGAAAAGAAAATTTTTCTTCCCTGAATTGATAATTAAAAGTGATAATGTCAAGCTTATCTCCGAGTTTTTCAAAATAATTAATCTTATAAATTCCTTCAGCATTAATTATAATGCAACTTGTCGTCAACATTTCAGCCAAATAATAATCTTCAGGACTTTGAAAATCTTGAAAGTCAGATTCTTCTTTCACAAACATTACGATTCCGGCAATATTATGACAAGTGAATGCCGTAACAGGAGCACCAGGTTTTTGAATTAAATCGTGATTAACTTTATCAAAAACGATCCGATATATTTCCGTTCTACCTTCAGCCTTTTCAAATTTGGGAACCACAACTTCTTCAAAATCGGGAGGATCATCATTTTCCGAAATTCTGTTGTTGAAATTTGCATATTCGTCACTATTGTATCTGTTTAGATTTGGAAGTATTCTAACTACTTCATCTTCATCGGCCGCCCTTTTCTTCTTCATGTCTGTTTCAACAATAGCTGAGATTGCGACAAATATCACGTGTTCGCCTTGATGTTCCATTATATTTGATATTGATAAAGACCATGATGGAAATTTTCTAGATAAAAATTCTTCTTCAAATTTTTCTTGGCTTTTTTTCATTCTTATACTTTCTGAACCAATTCCATTAGATTTCTCGTTTAAATAATTTGGAACATTTAAATAATTTTCTGAATTTGGAACATTTAAATTTGATTGTTGTTCAGAACTTGAAGTTTTTCTGTATTTTTCTCTTAACCTTCCAAACGATGCATATTCATATAATTCACTCATGCCAATTCTATAAGGTTCCAAGTACTCTTTTGATGCGTTTAAATTTGGAATTTTTACGAATTTACACGTAGGATCTATAATATTATCCGAATAACTAATGCTCGTATCCGATTGGAAAATACTGAATTCAAGTTTTTCTAAAGAAATAAAAATATTTCAAATTTCAAATTATTGTTTTTAAAAAAAAAATTAACTTTATTGATCAAATTAATAAATACTTACTATAATCAAAGGTGCAAATATATTGACCATCAGGACTTATAGCAACATGAGTAGCGGATCTTTCTTTATTAACTTCGATTTGATTGATTTCTATAGGAGGTTGTTGTTCCTGCGTTCTTCTACTTTTAATTCCCAAAATATTACTAATAGCGGATGTAATGGAACTTAATGAATTTCTTGAACTTCCATCATTTGACGATCGATTTGCAATAGATAGGAACGAATTAAAAGATCTTGGCTTATTCCGTTTAGAAGATTCGATTTTTAAATCATCAATGAACAAATCTGTATTAGATATGGGATTTGATTCTTGTGAGCGTTGTTTCTTGAGAAATAAATTTTTAGGAGGGACATTATCAAAATTGGTGAAATCAAGAGAATTTTTTTTGTCAGACATTTATTTTATTCTATTTTTTTCTTTTAAAAAAAAAAAAATTAGAAAAAAAAAAATTTGCTTGATTGAAAACTTGTACGTAATAATAATAAATAAATAAAATAAAACAAATTATAAAAAATAAGGGTTTTTTTTTTTTTGTTTGCAATAATAATAAATAAATACAATAAAACAGGTTATCACACATGTACAGTTTTAGGTTTGCCTATCGATATACGCCACTTTATCATTATCATATGACACTTCCTGTTTAAATTAAAATCAATTCAAATTATTGTGGCTAGATGTCACCGCGCTTGACAAATATGTATTTTTTTGGGACCCCAAAATACAGTACTAGATATATGACACATCTTACCAAAAAAAAAAAAAAAAAAAAATCATTCTTTGTTTTACATATTCGAGAATAGTTCTCCCCACCCCACTTTGGGAAAATTAAAATTATTTTCTTCATTTTCTTTAGCCGCATTTATTGACATGAAATTAATTTTATCGTAACATGTTGCTCAAACATGCAAAGAGGGAATATAAAAAATATATTACGGAAAAGGAATGAATCGAAAAAAAAAATTGGCTGGAAAATTATTTTAGAAGAATTATTAAAAATGGTCATGCAAAATAAAAAAGTGATTATCATGTCGTAAGGGACTTTGGTAATATTTTCGTTCCATCTCCAAAGTGATTATTATTATTTGTGCTTAAAAAAGGTGCATATTTGCTGATTAGGCTCTATTATCAAACCCAAAATCTGAGTGAATGAACATTTGACATGTGTTACCATTCTGTAAAATGTCTTGGAAACCTAAAATAAATGCCAAGATAACGCCGAAATCTATGGTTGTATTGTGTCAAAGATATCAAAAATTGTTCTTTAAAATTTCCGACCTTTGTTCTAGAAATTTAATGACTGCGCCACTCATTAGTACTAAATCACGTTTCAGAGAATTTCGAAAAAATATAACAGGAGCGCACATAAAATTTAAAGTTTAGTTTTTTTTTTTTCAGATTATGCAGTAAAATCTAATAATTTTGTTGACGCGTATGACAGAAAAATGATGCGTCGAACTCTTTCTGTACTTATAGAGTACATACGTTAACAGAGGAAAATTGGAAAATTAAGAATCTTAAATAAACGCGCGATGACGGTAAAAATAAAAATTTTAATTTTCTACTACATTCGGAGTTGAAAGATTTTTCTATGCATAATATTAGTGCAGGAATTGGTAGAATTGTTACATCTATGATTTGGCGAAATCAGGTATAAAAAGAATTCTAGAATTAAAACATGGCAATCAATTAAATATTGCCACATGATACAAACGCGTATTTAATACGTCATTAAAAATGTCGAAACTTGCTTTTTTCAGAAAATTTATCTATCCTCGTTTTTATATAGCGATAGGAATCGAACATTACGTTCTTTTGGTTGAAGACATATCATGGATTAAATTCTTCAAAAAGTTTATTTTTCTTGCAAAGGTCGCTTTTTTTTTTCAGTGACATATTTTCTTTAAGCATAAAGTTTTTCTTGTGTAAACATCAAGCTTGAAAAAAATTAAGAAATAATAGATTTTGAACAGGTGGAAAATTTTCAATTTTTCTAAGAATTTTCTCGTTAAAATATTTATTGGTTTTTCGTAATAAAAATTGATCTTTATTTTTCAAAAAAAAAAAGAATAAAAAGGATTTTCAAATCATGATAAACAAAGGTCGGTATTATTATTATTCATTTCAAGATTAATTTCAATAGTTGTTGGATTGCTCATAGATTTAGAATTTGGCACGGATGTAGTAAGTCTACTTACATCTATTGTATCTAATTGTAAATTAATCGTTGGGATACTAGGGTTATTTATCAGCGTATTACCTTCAAACTCCAAATAACAATGTTCCAAAGTCTCAACAACTTCTGTAATATCAGGACGTTCTTCAGGATCACTTTTCCAACATTTTGAATAAAGTTCAAAATATGGCTCAGGTGTTCCATCAACCTTACTTTCTCGTTTTCCTGTAACAACATTTAACATAACTTTCAAATCATCAAGTTTAGCGAATGGTACTCTTCTGCTTGAAATTTCCCATAAAATCATTCCAAGACTGAAGATATCAGATTTTTTGTTTTTTTTGTAAGTGGATATCTCGAAACATCGAGGATCAGTATAAGCAGGCCTTCCTTTGTTTTTAGAAGTTGAATTCGAAACTGAACCTTCCTTTTTCGATAATCCAAAATCTGCGATTAACATTTTGCCTTGATGAACCAATACATTTTTAGAATGCTAATAAATTTTATGTAAAAAATTTAAATAAAAAAAAAAATATTATAAAGTAAACTTTCTGAAACTAGATAACGATAATATTTAAACTTACCAAATCTCTATGAACTATGTCCTCAGCATGCAAACATAATAACCCTTCAGATATTTCGAGCGCAATACGATAATTATCAGACCAAGTAAGTGATTTAGATTTACGTTCTAAATAACCTTGAAGACTTCCACCATCAGCATATTGTAATACCAGCGCATAATCAAATTTATCCTTTCCTCCTAATAACAGACTTGAAATTAGAAGCAAATTACATTTAATTTATTTGAGGAGAAAAATAAGCATTGAAAAATAACCACCTTGTGTAATTCCAATAAATTGATTAATACGAGGATGATAGAATACATTTCGAAGATTTGAGAGCTAGCATAAAAAAAGAAAAAATAAAATAAAATTTAGATAATGAAGTATTTATGTATATATTTTAATATTGAATTTCATTGTTGAATTTACCTCTCTCAAGAATTCTTTCCAGAGTGCTTTATCGGTATCCTGACTATTGGCATCCGAATTAAAAGATTTTAAAGCAACTATCATCCTACGACTATCCCAATTTGCTTTACTTACAGAACCACTTCCTCCCTCTCCGACAATTTTCAAATTAGAAAATTCGTCATATTTAAAAAATTTAATATGATTTGCTTGGATTTGAGTTTTTAGCCAATCTTCAGACATACTGCACGAGACGAGAATCAGGTTCATATAAAATTAAAAAAAATGTACATTTCTTGTGTTTTATTTCATTTATTTATATTAAAATCATTGCGGACATATTACTAAATATAACTTTTATTGCTTTTCAATTTAGCTATTTTGTGGAACAGCAAAGTAGGTGAAGCATTTGAATCGAACATTTATGGAATGGATCTAACCCCAATTACTTTTTTAGATAACAAATGGGTCTTAAAAATCGAGTCACGAGACTAGACATGTGATTTTCTTAAATAACGATTTTTTTAGTCAAAGCTTTATGTGCGTGAATGAAACTTTTTATTAAAAAAAAAAAAAATAAATAAATAAATAAAATCAAATCTATATATTCTATTATAAAAAGTTTTTTTTTAAGATTTATAAAAAAGAAAAAAAAGAAGCGGAAAAAAGGAAAAAAAAAAATGTCCGAGCGCGAATCATAAACAAAGATCTTTGTTTATTAGATAATTAAGATCACTGGTTATAGTATTGCTATTTGGCACGGATAAAGCAATTCTACTTACATTTAATATATCTGAGTGTAAATTAATCTTTGGGATACTTATCAACGTATCACCCCCAAACTCCAAATAACAATGTTCCAAAGTCTCAACAACTTCTGTAATATCAGGACGTTCTTCAGGATCACTTTTCCAACATTTTGAATAAAGTTGAAAATAAGGTTCTGGTGTTCCATCAACCCTTTGTTCTCGATCTCCAACAGCAATTTTCATTATAACTTTAAAATCAGCAAGATTTGCGAAAGGTACCCTTCGGCTTGATATTTCCCATAAAATCATTCCAAAACTAAAGATGTCGGATTTTTTGGTTCTTTTATAATTGATTTGTGTGAAACATTGAGGATCCATATAAGCAGGTCTTCCTTTGTTTTTCGAATTTGAAAATGATGCACTTTCTTCTTTCGACATTCCAAAATCCGCGATTAACATTTTGCCTTGATGAATCAATACATTTTTAGAATGCTAATAAATTTAATAATAGATGACAATATTAATGAATGTTGATAATTTTTTGTAAGAACATGACCAAGTGACTCTAGATAATATTGTCATTTTCTTTTCAAATAGACTCTCCATTTATTAAAAACTTACCAAATCTCTTTGAATTATGCCCTCGGCATGTAAGCATAATAATCCTTCAGATATTTCAAGCGCAATACGGTAATTATCAGACCACGTTAATGGTATAGATTTATTTGCTAAAAAATCTTGAAGATTTCCACCATCAGCATATTGTAACACCATTGCATAATCAAATTTATCCCCTAATAACAGATTTGGAGTTAGAAGAAAGACACAATATATTTATTAATACACTTGAAGTAGTAGAAACAAGCGTTGAAATGACCTCCTTTTGTAATTCCAATAAATTGATTTATATGAGGATGATAGAATACATTTCGAAGATGTGTGAGCTAGCATATAAAACAAGAAGAAAGAAATTGATTATAGACCGTGGTAAAAAAAAAAAATAGAATTATTAATAAATTTGTTTAATAAAGAATTTTACTAAATAATGTTCGGATGTTCGGATTTCATTATTGAACTTACCTCTCTAACGAATTCTTTCCATAGCGCTTTATCGGTATCCTGACTATTGGCATCCGATTTAAAAAACTTTAAAGCAACTATCATCCTACGACTTTTCCAATTTGCTTTACTTACAGAGCCGCTTCCTCCTTCTCCGACAATATTCAAATCAGAAAATTCGTCATAATTAAAACATTTAATATGATTTGCTTGGATTTGAGTTTCTAGCCAATCTTTATCTTTAGACATTGTGATAAATAAAAACTAAAATGTACAATTCATTTTTTCTTAATTTATATTTTTTGACAAATTCCGGAACATCATTCCGGAAATTTTTTACTAATCTAAACAATTTTGTTGTTTTCAATTTAGCAATTTGTGAAACAGTTGCCATACATATTTGAATAATGATGTTTTGGTTCTTCATTGTCCGAAATTAGAAATAGGAATGTTTCAATAGATACATAAATCTCGATTATCTATATTTGCTTAAAGCATTTTTTTCTTCTTTATATATAAAACCGGCGAGATTCCCAATTAAGCCGCCAATTAAAATTAAGGCAAATAAAATTGTTCCTTTTTTCTTTTTTTTTTTTTGAATGAGTTTTGAGTACTTCGTCATACATAATTATTCTCGTAATTTCTTTAAAGTTTCCATTCTTATCAATAGTCTTTCTTCATGAAAGAAGGTTAGTAAAACAAGAATCTGGCCGGCACTATAACTTTGGCCCGAGTTAACTATATGATCTGCATTACAAATTGATTTATAAGAAACTTTATTTTAAATATTTTTTACAAATTACTTTGTTGTTGTATTGTTGTGACTGAAATTGGGAATTATACCATCTGAATTCCAATTTCAGACAAAATCTTATTGGTCAACTTCTGTGTAACATTTCAAGTTAAATTCCAATTTCATATACAAGGTTGTTTGAAATTGGGATAACTGAAATTGAACTTCAGAAATTGGATTTCAGTCACGAGGCCATCTGAAATTGAGACATCTGAAATTGAACTTCAGATAGAATCTGAATTTCAGTCATAAGACCATCTAAAATTAAAACATCTGAAATTGAACTTCAGATAAAATCTGAATTTCAGTTATGAAAGTATCTGAATTTGAGACATCTAAAATTAAACTTCAAATAGATTTTGAATTTTAATCATAAGTTTGTTTGAAATTGGAATCTCTGAAATTAAATTTCAAATAATAAAATATTACATGTTTTTTTTTGAAATAAAATTATTTTTTAATAAATAAATATATTAATAATATTTTTTTTTAATAAAATTTATATAATATAATTATAATATAATTTTATAATTAACAAATATTTGTAAATATTTTAGATTTTTTTTATTTTTTTTTTATATTATTTTTTAAATTCTTTTTTTTTTTTTACTAAATTCAATATCTTTATGAACTTTTTTTTTATTTAATTATTTTTTTTTAATATAATTATTAATTTTATAAATTTTTTTTTTTTTAGATTAAAAATTCTAAAATTAAATATACAATTTTTTATTTTTATATTAGAATTATAATTATTTTAAGTATTTTTTTAATTAATTACTACTAATTTTAACAATTTAGTTATTTTGGTTATTTAATTATTATAAAATATTTTCTATTTAAACTATTTAACTATTTTGATTATTTGATTATTTTGCTATTTTTATTTTGATTATTTTAATTACTTTATTTTTTATATTAATCTTAATTATATAGGTATAGTTATATTTTTTATTTGAATATTTAGCTATAGTTTATTTTTATTTTATTCAATTAAATTAATTTGATTATTTTAATTATTATAATATGCTTTTCTATTTTATCTAATTAACTATTTTGATTATTCAATTATTTAATTATTTTATTTATTAGTTTAATGATTTTAACTATTATAATTATTATGACTATTTTTATTTTAGCTATTTAACTATTTTGATTATTTTAATTTATTTGGTTGTTTTGACTATTTGATTATTTTTTTATTTTTATTATATTTTGATAATATTTTTAAACTATATTGATTGTATTATTTAATTTAAATTTTAGCTATATTTAGATAAATTATTTTTATTTTTATAATAAAAATTTTAAATAGAATAATTTTAATATAAAATTTATATATTAATTAATTAAATAATTTTTTGAAAAAAAATATAAAATTGTTTAGCTTTATTAATTGTTTTATATAATTTTTTTATAAAGTGATTTGTAAATCTACTTAAAGTAATTAAAGGAAATCAAAAATTAAATATTAAATTAAATTTAAATGATAAACAAAATTAGAAATATAAAATACCAATCATTTGCTATTATATAACTGGTTTTTATCATTTAGAAAATTCTATTAAAATAAGTTTTTAATTAGTAATTTTTAATATTTAATAATATTTATTTAAAATTATTTAAAATTAATATAATTTAAAGCTATTGAATAAAAATCCTATTTTTTACATCTGAGTTAGCTGATTATTTTATATTTTTTTAATAAATAAATTTTTTTTCAATATAAATATATTTGAATTTATATTAATTTTTACAAAAATAATATTTTATTTAAAAATTATAAAATTATATTTAAATTTATAAAAGTTAAAAAAGTTCTAATTAATAAATTATATAATAAATTTTATTTTTTTATTTTTAAATATTAAAATAAATTTATCAAACTAATTAAAATAATCAATATGTAAAATATTATATAAAAGATTTTAATTCAAATTTTTCTAAATAAGGTTTTTAAATAATAATTTATGTATCATTTTAAAATTTTAAAATAAGAATTTAATTAATTTTTAATTTAAATAATTATTTTAAATTTATTATATTTATAATTTCATATAAATCAAATTTATTCTTGTCAAAAATATAATTTTAAAAAGTTTAATAAAATAAAATTAAATTATAGTAAAAGAGAAAAATGATTTTATACTAATCTAATTTTAAAAATTAACTAGTATTTTTATCAAAAAAGTAAAAATAGAAATAAACTTTATTGAATTTACTACAGGAACTAAAAAATTCTACTAAGCTATTTAGAAAAATTAATAAAAAAAATAACTCTTTTATACTTATTAATTATTCAAACCTAACTAAAAATAAATAAACTAACTTATTGAAATCATATTATTTTTTGATTTCTGATATCAGAGAGTTTTAAAAAAAATTAATAAGATTAAAAGTATTAATAAGTTATCTATATTCTTCAGATAATAAAAAATAAATTCTAATATTATAAAAAAAAAAAAAATATTATTTATTATTCAATTAACAAAGTAACGTAATTTAAAAAAAGAAATAAAATTAAAAATTATAAATAAATAAAATATTAAAAAAATATTATATACAATTCAATTAATGCAATAATTCTAATATAATAAAAAAAAAAGAAATATAATATGGGTGGTTTGCAAATTACCCATATGAAAGCTTTGTAATAGAAAGGGAGAAAACTCTAAAAATATTTTTTTGAATTAATGATAAATCTGAACTTATTTTACTAAAAAATCATAATTAGCTTGTAAAGTAAAATTTAAATTTTTTAAAGTTTTCTCCTTTTTTACTGCAAAGCTCTCATATTGATATGATCTAAAAAAATTATAATGAGAAAAATAAAATATTATAATAATATAAAAAATAAAACAAAATAAAATAAATAATAGCGTACAGCTTAAATAAATATTTAAAAATAAATCAAGCAAAATAAAAAAAAATATCATTGTAGGATTGGTCAATATAAATTTAGTAAAAATGAATTTTCCTATACATTTTTTTATACATTTTTTTTAAACACCTTTAATTTTATATTTTAATTTTCATAATTTAATAAAGTTAATATTTTTGTAACTTTATTAATTAACAATTATTATTAATTTTTTATTTATTCAATTATTTCAAAAGTTAATTTAATAACTTTGATTAAAGGAAATCGATATTTAAATCCTAAGTAAAGTAATTCAAACGAAAAATTTTTGTCTCAATTCCTCTAATAATAAGTCATACGAAAAAATAAGTTATATGAAAATTTATAAATAAGTCATATGAAAAATTATTTGTCCTAACTCCTCCATAATAAATCATACGAAAAATTTATATCAGGAACAGTTTCTGCGCTGACCA